TATTAGACTATTCCATTATGGACTGTTTGCATATACACACACACACGTACACACACACACAGAGTTTTTCACCATTAAGCATAACTCTTTGTTCCATAATCCCCAGTTGTATGTTTAATCATCACACATAAAACACTTCCATCAAAAAGGAAAACTGCAGTTCTAGCATGTTTAATTCTTTGGAAATGAACATCTACATTGCTGAAATGGCATTAGAGTGACAAATGACTATAATCCAATGGCCCAAGGCCAGCAACTTCTATTACAGCAAGATTTTGCTGTTTTGTACGACACAGCATGTTGCGTGTGTGTCACTAAACAGAAATGAGACTGCTTAGTTTACCTATAAACAAAACCCCACTTAACTTTACAAGTATTTTAACAGCTACATATATGGAAAAAGCAGTGTGTCTAAGCAACTGCCTAGAGAAACTGGATTTATTAATAGGTAAATGGCTGGATCTATTCTAAGAAGGCCCCAAATCAGTGCTATAGTCTAGAATGCACAGAATAAATAGCAGTGATTCACAAAACCTGTAGAGTTTATTCTAGTATTTGCATGCTGCCATATAGTTCCAAATTTAAGTTCTATGCCAGTTTTCTCAGACTTGCTTTTTTTAACCAACCCACATTCACCCACTGTGCTCTGCATGGATCCACCATTCACATTTTAGAAAGGCAAATGGTATCTTCTGGCTACCTAAACTCACAGCTTCTGCTGCAGTATGAATTCCTGAGACCACAGAAGCTTACAACTACTCACTCCACTGGCAGAAGTTTTAGCAAAAGAACAAACCCTTTTTGCTCAGAAGGCCCTTCTGAGCAATGAAAGCAGGACTCAAAAACGAAGGGAGGCAAATCCAGCTTCTTCACCCCTTTAAAACACAGTACAGTAACTGACCAGGACAGGGCAGAAGCAGCAGCTACGATAACACGATGTACTCTAACACCTCCATCCAAACCCACTGTTGCCAGCCCCTACCCACAGCCACCTTTCATTTCATTGTTCGGGTTGTCCTCCCGAGTTATCAGTGTGTTTCACAAACTTGACAGACAAAATCTACACTGCCCTCTCTCCAAACACTTCTTTCTGCCTGTAAGGACCCTGTCAAGTTATACACATCTGCACAGATGCAAGCAAGCTAGCACTCACGCAGCAAGAAACTCATGCAGCTGCAGAGCAACCCTGGTTTTCTTAAGAGTATTTTCGAGACAGATCGATTTCCTGATGAAGGTCACCCACAAACATCAGGCAATACACTGCAAAGACAGCACAGAACAAATGCCTACAGACTGCAGCCTTTTTTTTTTTTTCCCTCCTTCCAGAAACAGTGCTGGCTTAAGGGAACATCAAACTACACCCTGCCAGGGAGCAACACTCCAAGTGGCCATAAAAGAGGCAGTTTGCAGTGCAGTATTTCAGGGAGTCAGATTGCATGTCATGTTCTGAGTTCCAGTTATTCTGGTTGGCAGGCCAGACACAGGCTTGGGTGAGGATGAGTAGCAGCCTATGAGCTTGTTCAGCTTTTCCTGAACTCAAAACTCAACCAGTTTTTACTTCAGCTGGGTCTGGGGACAATATGATACATTTAAAATGGCACTGAGCTAATATGACACCACAGTAATGGTGAAAGAACAAAACAAGCATAAATGATTCATTCTGCTATGGTATCCTTTCTTCTGTTTAACTTGTTTTCACAAGATTTATAAATTATGAGTCTGTATTAATTCTTTCTATGAAAAACAATAGGAAAAGTGGCTAGAACAACTGTTTATACAGTTTCTACAGAGCATTACTCTTTCCAAACAGGGAAATATTTTTTAAAATGTCTTGAAAAAAAAAATTAATTTAAATGACCTTGATGACAAATGGTTTCAGCTATACCCTGTGCTACATCAGTTCAACATCTGTAGCGTCATGCAAAGCCTGTAGTGATACAGCAAGTTTACTTTTAGCTCATACTAATAAAAAACCTTACAGATTTTGAATATACTCAGAACACACCTAGAAAACTGACAGCAATACTTAAGTATCTCATTAAATTATTATGAAATAATGACATGCAATAGAGAGGTACAAATGACCAGCAATGTCTAACCTGTGTTTCCATATACTCATGCTTGCTGACTACCTGGCTGTCCAAAATTAATGCCCCTTTGAAAATAAATGATATGGTCGCGTTTCATGATTTATTTGTTAGAACATGTAAAGTGCCTAACGAAGTATTTCTGCTCACTACTACATGAACCCATTAACTGGCAGAAATTTGACTACCCATTTTAGCTATTAAAAGAACACGATTTTCTTGAAGACTTCTTTTTGCCCCATGTGACAAAAAAAAATTTATGTCTCAATTACGGTACGCTCAAATTACAGTCACAAGGGAAAAGTGAGCACTTTTGCCTCAGACTCTGCATTATGACACAAACATAATCACCAAATAATGTTATTTATGTTTTCAGAACAGAATTTTATCAAAGTATATCTACCGATCTGCAACACTACCATCCTACAATAAAAAGCTGCATCTTCAGGCATGCGAGAATCCAAAATATTGTTAACTTACTTCAGCATTATAGCATTAAACTGCTCTAGAATATACAGTCATATAAATCCCAGACAGCATTTAAATAAACTGATTTATTAATGTAAAAATAAAACAAAACACAAGGATAGGCTGCATTTAATGGCACAAACAAGCATTAACTGAAAGATATCCTACAGATTTGCTTCCAAATGAGACATGAACTTAAGGAGCAACCCTCACGAGACCTAAATATATCCCTTTACCTACAGGGATTGAGTTAAAATAGTCTATGTGAAAGTTAGTACTAACATGACTTTACAGTCTAGTTTTAATTACAGCTGTATATTGCTTCACCATGAACTAAATCATCAGCTGAACTTCCTTGTGTTTCAAGGTACACCAACTTAATTAAAGTACAGACACAAAAATGTCTTTAATTTTTCTAAATCCAGAAAAAACAGCTGTAGTGTAAAACCCAGTGTTATCCAACCGACCACATGCACTTCTGCCTACTGCTGAGAGTACTGAGGGGGAGGGCAAGGAGTAAAACAGCTTCGGAGACAGACACTGAATTCTTTCGATATATGAGCATTCAAACTAGCATTCATTAGAAAAATGTGTCCAAAACGAATTGCAGTTTCTCAACAGTAAAATAAAAATCGAACGATACTAAACTTAAGAACACTTTAAAATTTTAAAGAAACTCCAGAAACTGCAACTGTCCTCAGAACACTCACATTAACAAAATAATGTCCCTCTTTTTTCCAAACATAAATAAATCAAGCTGGACAAGAAATGTTACTATAGTTTTACCAGTCAGGCTTTTGTTTATGGAAAAATCACTGTCAGGACCACTAGTGTATGATCTCAACTGCCATTAACAAAAGCAGAACTCAGAATTAAAGCGTAATTTCGTTTCACACACTTAAACTTCATAAAAGGTATTTTCTACCACAAAAGACACGTTTTCTTAATAAAATCATCTTTAGCATGATCAAAGCTTTCTAAACTTCATTATTTGCTAAAACCAAAGTTGTGCGAAGTCTTGCAAACACACACCACAGTGCACCACATGCACAGCCCGATATTTTTGCTTTAAAGCTTTTGGGAACCGAAATCCTACAGGAAAGAAACAGTGAAATTATCCCACTCGATCACTTGCTCTAAGCAGACACGAGGTTACACCAGGAATCGAACTTTCAACTTCCACTGAAAAACTACCACAACCGCAGCTTTTCTTCTACTCCGCGCACACATCTTTTGGCTGCTTTAGTTAGTGGGAGACGGGGAAAGTGGACACGCATCTCCATGCACAGCGATCCTGCAACACTCAGCCTTTTGCAGCCCAATGCACTGAGAATTACTGAGTGTTTGGGCGGAGGGTGGGGGGAATTAGCCTACAAATCTCCATATCCCCTTCTCATTATATACTCGTTTCTACCTCTTCCCCCGCTCCAAAAAGGAATACGCACAAACTATCGCCTTTTTCCCCCCACATCCCCTCTCTGCGCTGGCTCAGACAGAAAAGGGCACAGCACCGGCTTCACCTCGCAAAAGCTCCGCATGCCGCCTCCGCCCCTTCCCTCCGCCGAGGCGCAGTGACACCGGCGCGGCGAAGGAGCGATCCCCAGCTCGCTGGTTCCCTCCGCGGGGCCGGCGGAGCGGGATGCCGCCGTCCCGGCGGGCAGCGAAGCGGCTCCACCGCCCTCAGGAGATTCAATGAAGCTGCAGAATCACCCTAGGCCTAGTCCCGGCCACCACGCTCCCCCCCACTCGGCGAGCCGCGACACGGGGCCCGGCAGCCGCTGGCGGCCCCTCACGAACCCCCGCGACACCCCGAGACGGCAGCGGGGGCACGGGCCATACCTGCGCGCCGTTGACCGCCATGGCACCCCTTGTCCGTGGGGAGCTCGGCGTCTGCCGTGCGCTTCACGCTGCTGCCCCCGCCGCCGCCATTTTCTCTCCTGCACGCACCAGCCGGGCGGGCAGGCGGTGCGCACTGCGCCTGCGCACGGATAAGGAGGGGCGTGGCGGGCGGGCCTCTGCGCCTGTGTGAGGGGCGGGAGGCGGTGGCGGGCGGGGGCTGCGCAGGCGCGGTGGCGGCCAGGGCGGCTCTGAGGTAGGGGTGCGGCGGCGGGGAGCGGGTCCGTCTCTCCGAGGGGCCGCCCAGAGGCGGGAGGATGGGCGAGGCGGTGCCAAACCGCTTGGGTTTCAGCCCCCGGGCACTGGCTGGGGAGGGGGAGCTGCTGTGAGGGGCGCCCAGCTGAGGGAGGCCGCCGGCGGGAGCCTGGCCCCACATCGCCGTTGGCTTCGGCCGGCCCTGTGCTGCTGCAGTGTGGGGGAGCGGTGCAGGAGAAACGCAGCGGGAAACTGCACGTAGGCAGGCTGCCCCAGAGGAGTTAACGCAGGGTTCACCTCATGAGCTTGTTAACAAGCCGCACGGCAGTGGTTGCTCCGGCAGGTAACCGTGCCCGTTTGAGGCAGAGCGAAGCTGTCCCACTTCTGACCCAAATAACGAGTGGGAATGGGTTCATTGTTTGTATCTGAGAAAAAAAAACCTCAAGTGACTAAGCCAATCTCATGGTTTTGAGCGGACTGACTCATAACCGAATTCTGAAACCCCCAGGCGAGAATCCATTATATTAGTTGTTAATTTACTCCTTTTTTTTTTTTTTTTTTTCTCCTTAAACTGGCAAATCCTGCAAAAGTCTCGTTCAGTTGGGATGCAAATGGTAGGGAAAGCTTAACATTACCGTGAAAGTTGAAGAGAAGAAAGGGAAATAAATAACTTTGTTTCTTTGGCTGCTGAGAGAGGAGGCAGTGGGAAGAAGGTTGATCCACCTCCCTCCGATAAGGACGTTTGCCTCTCCGTTTACCAAGTACAGCACTTCATGTGTGCTCATGACAGCGAATGATTTTCTGTATCGGCCTCTGTCCTTTCAGCAGGCACACCCGTGCTGCCGCTCCCTTGTGAATCTAGCAAGTGTTGCTCTTCTGTCCCAGGGCAGAGAACTAGCAGTAAAAACGGCTGTTTAATATGAAAAGGGAGGAACAAAAAGGGGAGACAAATGTATAGGCCTTTTGCATACAGCATTTCAAAGGTCTGAAACCCCCTCTCCCCTCGGGAGTCTCATTTACAAGGTAAATAAAGGACTGAAAACCCTTACTTAGCTCATCCGCTTGAAGGCAAAATTCCCTTCTGCCCACAGCGCTGCCTAAATAAAGAGGCTGTTTTTGCTGGAAAAAGCCCCTTCAAATAGCTGATACACAAATGAGGACAGTACTTCCCACTTGAAAGCTGGTTAATTCAAATACCAATACTGTTAAATGCTGTAGCTGGTGGCAGAAACCTACATGCGCATAAAGGCGCTGTCTTGTAATTCAGCAATATTTAAAACGCCTTCCAATACTATCCCATCTTAATACAGTTTCATTATAAAGTCTCTTAATTTACCACAATATTTTGCAATAATGCAAGTTTTGCAAGTTCTATTGTAAAAGGAAACTTTATTGTTTTGCAGAAACTTACTTACCTGCTGGGAAGTTTGCTCCTCAGTTCTCTTTTATCATTCATTTTTGCCATTTTAACGGTCTGTTATTGCATTACCACTTACTGCAGTGCCCAAATCAGTTTTCTTTATATCTATCCTTTATGCCAGTGGCCATGAATTACAGCTCACAAACAGCATGCTGTATTTCTGACTTAAAAAAAAAAAGCTATATTTCTTTCAGTGTATCCATGCTCTTAAGATTCATGGAGTAAAGTAATGTTCTTAACAACTTGGTACTGACTTAATTACTTTGTGAAGTGATCAACAACGAACGTGGTCCATGGCTGGGGAAATAAAGTGTTGTCTGATGTTAGCTAGTGAGCTGAATAAGCTACTCCCAGTTTAGCTGCCTCCCAGTAACTGCTGTAATTGTTTTTATCCCACAGGAAATGAAAAGTGTTTGGGAATGGCTCAACCTTCCAAATCAAACTCCTCACAATTTTGCTGTATCGAAAGACCTGTTCTCATGACAGCACCCAGGAGGTGAAGGGATTTATATGTATGACTTTTCTGAAGCAACCAGGACCCACACATCTGTTCTTTCAGGGTGGAGGAGAGTATCTTCCTGGAGTGTTGCAAGAACTGGTTGATCACTATGGGAGGTGTCCTGCTGTCCATGTAAAGGTTCCTCCCAGTGCCCAGAGCTTTAGGAGCTCTGAAGACTTTCTTCAGAGATAAGGACTTTGCCTTTTTTTCTAGGCACCATAAGGGCTTTGCTACTTCTCCAGTCATTCAGGTAATGGGATTCAACAGGGAAAAAAAGAAAACAGCGCTGTACTGTATTTGGGGGGATGAAGACACAGAAAGCCAAGGTGGCTGCTCTGTAGAGAAAACCTAGAAACATTACTTAAAGCACCAAGAATCTGAGGGGCCATGGTAGTGCCAACTTTGAGCCCATAATGGCACAAAAACAGTGTTGGGGAGGGAGCTCTTTTTCCTCTGCCCTCACCACTGCCTATCATAAAGTACTTACAGGCAGCAGCTATATTCCCTGGTGGGCTTTGCCAGGAGGGGTGTTTGCTTATGGGTCTGCTGACTCCTTGAGTTTCAGGTTTTCCATTTAAAATGAACCTAATCTAGGCCAGGATCCCCAGAGGCACTGTTGCTGTACCCTGCCAAGCAAAGCTGCCACAGAGCTCCTCCAGCATGAGGTCCAAGAGGTGCTGTGAGCTTTGCTGGAGGGAGGTAGATGAAGCTGTTTTTACTGTGGTCATAGAGGCCCAAAGGCTGTTTGTTACATGATGTGGTGCCTGTGAGAAGGAACAGAAGTCACTGCTGAAGGAGGTCCTTTTTGCTTCTCATGATTATAACCACATTTTTACAACCCTGATAAAGTGCTTCTCCTTCCTTTGGAGAACTTGGCTTTGGTCCTTCTTGTTGAACCTCTTTTTTTTTGGACAGCTGCTATCACTGGATAGTCTCTCCTGAGGTTTTCCCAAAGCCTTATACTTTGGAGTACCCAGAGCACTGAAACAAGACTACAGAATAAGTTTTAACTTGCTGTGGCCTGAATTGCAGAGGCCAGAAGTGGGTGGACACAATAAGCCAAGTAGCAAAGAACACCAATAGCAAATGTTACATTCCAAAAATGCAGTAATGCAAGCCTGGCTTCAAACTCTGTATTTCTAAATTTGCAGGGAAATTGTAACGAATGCATTTAATTTGTCAAGGTAAGGAAGTTCAGTATGGACCAGTTCAAGTCAAGCTGAAACAAATTTGAAGTCTGGGCAAGCCTTTAGTAGATCATGTGGAGGCTTGGCTCAGTATGTTCTGTGTTTCAGTTATCTATTCAGACCTCATGGCTGAATTATTTGTGACTTACTCATCCTTATCTTCAACATGAGCCTTCTCTCCTCTCATGCAATCATCTGGTTTAGGGCTGCAGTCTCAAAAAAGACCTGCAAGTCTTACATCTCACTTTCCTTTCATGTTCTGTCACCAAACCCATCAGGATATAAACAAAGGTACGCATTTTCCCAAAGCCACTTGCAATTCCAAAAAGAGCCTGTGTGATGCTAAAAAATGCATGTGGGATCAACAAACCCGCTGCTGTACTGTCTGTCTCTCACTGAATCATGGCGTTGTCAGAAGGGAGAAGGAAATTTTAAGTAGCTGGAGATGCTTTGTGCTCAGACGCACAGCACACAGACAGGATACCTCCATCTGGACTTGGGATACATCAGCCCTGATCCAGTGCCTGTGAGACAGCTCAAAACTGTAAGGGCACAAAGGAGTAATTAGCTTCTCACTCATTATTACATTCATGAGAACTGAAATATGACAAGAAGCCAAAATCTGTCACTTTAAAAAATACTGAATCCTAAACTGCACATGGAAAATCACCAGTATTTGGAGGAATGCAGTTTGATCTTATGGAGACAGACAGACAAAGAGACACTCGGGCACATTTTTCTCAACAGAAATATTTCCAGCTTCTTTCTCAAGCCTTCAGAACACCTTCATCTCTTAGTCAGTGATTTTTCCTTAAGGTATCTCAAGGGATTTATGTTATCTAACATTGGTGTTACAGGCAGCAGTTACTCAACAATGCTGATGCAAAGGTACAGTCATGGAAGTGTGGGAAGAGAAAGCCTGAGGTTTTTGGTAGCTGCTCTGTGTCAGGTAAAACGAGCTTTCCTCACAATTTGGCAATAGGAGCCTTTCTAAAATGAGATAGAGCAGTACTTATTTCTCCCCAGGGCAGGAAGAAAGATCTGTACTTCCTGGTGAGAACTAAAACATTTTATAGAGCTTGAAGTTGAAGGCAGGTGCAGGAGCCAGAGTGATTCTAGAAGCACAGACCAGGAGAATATGCCTTTTGTCTACCCATTTTAATTACTCATCCAAGGAGCTGTTCAGACCTCGAAAATCAAAGTAGAAATTCACTTGTGTCATACGTATTCGTTCATTTCTGCAGAATTCCAACACACCGATTGCGCAGATCGGTTCAAGCACTTGGGAGCTCAACTTATTTTCAGGCATCATGTGCTGTCTCCCAACACTTCGTGAGTGATGATAAGCCATGTCTGGGTTCATAACATCCAAAATCCATGCTGCCAGACTGCTTTTGGCAGTGCTTAACTGCTGTGGCTCTCAGAGGTGCAAATGGTAATAACTTCTTCATACAATAGTGGAGAAATGCTTACGGCAACAAGAGGTACGATACCCCAGTGGCCTCTGGTAATGTGAGAGATGTCCCATACTCACTTCTAGCCTCTGTTTTCAAAGGGATGATAAATGGACTGGGAAAAATAAAGTTTTCCTTGATGAGTACTGAGGTTCTGTTCTGCCCCTGCAATTAAGTTTAAAGTTATGAAGTCCTAATGTGTTTGTCTACTCCCCATTAAGTGCTGTATTTGAAACCACTATATAAACTGGATCAGGTCTTTTGCTCACAGCTGCGAAAGATGTGCAAAGTAGTTTCTGACTGCCTGGTTTGGAGCACCATGCAGAAAAGGTGGATTAGCCAGAGAATTTAATTTTCTACTTCATATTGTTACATTTAGCTTCTGCCTTTTAAAATGTTTCCACTATTATCAGTGCCACTTAAACATAATTACAAAATTCCTTCTGCAGTTTCTCAAAAAGGAAAGCCTCCCTTAAATCAATACACAAGTCAGACGGTGATGAATGCAGTAGTCTAAACTGAATTTATTGTTTCCAGACATTAATGCAATACATAAACACATTGAAAGGGAAGGATATAGGAACAAGCAACCCATTAACAGAAACACTGAAATTTATGTTCTATACACATGAAAATATCAAAAAAAGTTAAGTAGTTGTCAGTCAACATAGCAAGGATTACAGATTATAAAATAAACTCAAACAACTAATTAATGAGTTTGTCATAATCAAAATGGTTTTTTGTTTGCTTGGTTGGATTAAAATTTATTTTTAGGGTAAAAAATAATAACCATTACCTCATGCAGTGTAAAATGGCTTTAAAAGAAATCCAGTAATGCAAATGAAAGTCTAATTCCAGAGGCCTTTTTTTTTTTAAACACCAAAAAATCCTCAAGGGGGTTCACAAAAATAATTTCAGTTTTCTTAAATCCTTTCTTAGCATTGAAGAGGAAACCTGTAACGTTCTTGCACTCCAGAGACTTACTCAGAAGTACCTTTCAATACAAATACAGTCTTACAATGTATGTGAGTTCTTCAATTTACAAGAGCTTCAAATGTGATGAAGTTCAAAAATGTTTTCTTAGTGTTTTCCAATTATTGAGGTAAATAGTTAAAAAATAATAAAAAAAGGGTAGCGGGATATCAGCTGTATGTACACCACATGCAAATAAAGAAGGCAAATCTTAAATACATAGTTATGGTGCACAAGGGAGACGTGAAAGAAGGATCAGGGAAGAAAACCAGCAACAATCAACAGTTACCCAGCAGGACTTTAAACCAAAGCCCCTGCAGATCCCCACTAGTTGCAAATAAAGCATGTTTATCAGCACGTCTGGCGAGCTGGGCTACGGAGAAGAGCCTGTACAATAGTCACAATTACAGCGGACTGCCCGACAATGCTGAGAATGTAAATGCTGCTCCAACAGCTGCACCGCATCCCAAGCAACCACACAAAGACCAACAGAGCCATCAAATGATGAGCTCCTGATGGCAACAGCAGGGCCACGATTACAGAGCAGTAGCTTCTACAGTAAATAACAATATATGGCAAACAGGAGACTGAGTTAGCAAAATGCGGTATAAAAAAGTATAAAAGTTGTTTTTAAAAACTGCCTATAAAGTTCTCTTGGGAAGGAGGAATATTTAGTCTGCGGCATTATTACAATAACTGAAGTGGCTGTATCAGATTGCTGGTGATTGACTTCTTGTGAATCAGAGGTGCATTTCTGAAATGCCCCAGGGTGAATGCCTGAAAGCTGCCCAGACAGTCGGGGAATTTTAGTATCTGCAGCAGAATCAGCTGTGTTTGTAGAGGGTGGACTGACACTTGGGTCGGAAATCTCTCTACTTGGTATGCAGAGGATACTGTGACACAAAGGGTCTCACAGACAATTGTCAGTTCATTCCCAAGTCTGTACCCCAAACACAGGCCCAAGTATATTTTGAGTTTCTGCCTTTTGAACCTGTCTTGCTGGGGAAGGTGTCTGGTTGCACAGCTGGTGAGGGACTGGTGAGTCCCCACCAAAACCATCAGGAAAGGCTACTCTCAAGGAAAGAGATTTTGAACTTTAAAAAAAAGGAGGAAAGTGTGAGCTATTAGCTCAGGCAAAAAAACAAGTTGCTGTCCTTCAGGATTACCAAACCCCAATTAATCATCCTTGGTTAATAAGCTTTTTGACAGCAAAGTCTAGTATGGGTCCCTGCTCACACTGGCTACTAGCCATGACTGCTGTGAGCCTTGACTTAAGTGAGGCGGATCCCCGCTTCTGCATCCTGTTAGGGCTAGGCAGGGATATCTTCCCACTTCAAGTCCACCTGAGGGATCCTCCTGCTACTTCTCCCCAGTGTTACCCTATTCGGCAAACCTCAGATTTGCAGTGGGCTCTATGAGTTCCATCTGCTTTGAAGCCTGAGGCAAACTGTGCAGTTTCCATCCAAATTCTCAAATCTTCTTTCAAGTTCTTCAGTAGATTTTTTTTATCTCAATCTGGGACAGTGTTTAAAGCCCAAGGAAAACTTTTTTAGAGATGAAAAATGCCACAACAAGGGATGCAAAAGTCATCTCTCCCAGATTTCCAAGTCATAATGGCTGTTGATCCAAGCCCCAGTCAATCCTATCTATTCTTCAGCTACATAGAAAGATCTTAATCTTAAAGAGTACAGTGGAGTTATTTGCTCTTCAAGCTGGTCTGACCTAAGTCCAGCAAAAGCAATATCCTCTTTGAACACCTATGTGTTCCAGAAATCTGATACTTACAACTCAAGAACATACTGTAAATGAAATACAACGTTACAAAAAAAGAATAAAAATCAAGATTTACAACAGTGAAGATCCATTTAATTTTCTCTTAGCAGCTGTTTCTAAATCCCTTTGAACTGCTCTGTAACTTCAAACCAGACACTCAGTACTCTGCCTCCTTCCTCTCCCTTGATGTTATCAATTTAGCCACAGATTAAACATTTTGAAAACACTGACATTATACAATTTATGTGGAAATGTCACGAGCCAAGAAGTAAAAGACTGAGCCTTAACATTCAGGAGAGCAGCACAACCTCTCTTGCCATCTCACCCCTTATAGAGTTGGAGGGTTGGGGTGTTAATTTCTTTTGTCATTTTTATCTTAAGCATGAGCTTAATTCCCAAAACCACATTCAACTGTACATTTTATGAGGCTTCAGAATATCCCCCCCCCCACTCAAAAAGAATCAATGTTAGATAGAAATTATTTAATACAAGGTCCTTTTGGAGCCCACCATCAAAGGGTGGTTATCCAGGAGTAGTCATCTTCCTCGATCTTGATGTTTTCTTGTTTTTGTTTTTTTCTTCTTGTCCTCTGTTTTGGGTTTCAACGCACAGACACATGCAGACACACCAGCAATTGCTTTGGGTAAGTCAGTTCCTTTGTACCACTTATTTTTCTCCTTATCATAAACCTGGACCGTTTTGGAGAAGACCGTTTCTTCCCAGCTGTAGCCTCCGAGGATGTAAATCTTTCCTTCCCAAACTGCCACCCCTGACTCACTGTTTGCTTGCAGCAGAGGAGCAACTCTGGTCCACTGGTTACACTGAGGGCTGTAGGACTCCACACTCAGAATGTCAAAGCGAGCCATGGTTTCTATGTTGTCATCGCTGCCACCGATGGAGTAGATGTGGTCCTGTAAGGTGCACATGCTGTGCCACCCTCGGGCAACAATCATCGGCCTCTTCTCCTCCCAGACATCCGTGCGGTAGTCGTAACACAGCAGGTTTTTTCTGTAGGGGCCGATTTGGTAATCATGGCCTCCTGAAATGTACACAAATTCCTTGAAGACTGTTCCAGCATGGCCGTAGGTAAACCTAGGACAGGAAATCAAAAACAATCCGGCTTAGTGCTTACGGATTTCACCAAGACAGACAGTGTTCAACAGGGATTGCTACTAAAGAACAAAATAAACAGTAACTAAAGACAAAGGAATCCTTAATCCTCTTAGTTATCAAGTAACTATTCTCATCCACAGTGCTCCACCCTGTGCTGCAGAACGCTAAGGTATGACAATCACTTTTTAAGACATCCTCTACAGTGTGTCATACAACAGAAGTAACCCGTCCTGCTCTAGTTGGCATGGCCTTCACTTCCATTTTCCTGCTCCAGTGTTTGGGTTGGATAAGTTTGAGAAAGTCAGAGAGGAAAATATCCACATTCAGCAAGGGTTTCTATGACAGAAAGAGGAAATAATCACAATATCTCTCAGACTTATCGGTAGCTATTAACCAAGAAAACTGCTGCTGCCTTCCCCTTTCACAGCATCAGGATCACAAATCACATTTCTTACCCGCTACTATCCATGAGCCAGTGTATCTGCAGTCATGATACATGCAAGTGTCCTTTTCATGAGTATCCCTCTGTTTTATCACTTCTATACAGGTAATAAACTTCTTTGGTCACCCCAAGACAAGGCAACAGACCTCAGTCAATCATAGCTTAGCCTCCACATTTTGAAACAAGACAAACTGAGGTGGCGGAACCACCACCACATGTGCTGTTTCCACAGGGCAGAAAGAAAATCCCTTTGATCAGCTTTAATAAAGCCACTACAAACCTATTTTTTTGAGGCTTTTCTATGACTTCACACAAGGATATTCCCAACCAAACCCCTCTGAGCTCTTAAGAGTGGAATGCTAAGGCAAAGGACAGCATTGTCTTCTTTGAACACAGCCTTCCTGCACATGCCTTTTTCCTTTTTGTTGGGTGTGCAGGGTGTCAAAAGATGTAGATGCAGCACCAGCCACAGCAGCCTGGTTCACACACTGGCACAAAGAGCCAAATTTAATACCCACAAGGCTGCAGAGCAATATACTCCTCATGCTGTACTCACCAGCTTCTACTACCATCCTTTGTAGTCAAGGACACAAGAGGACTCAATCTTTATGGCAGGCAAAGCTACATTAGCATTACTTTAGCCTGGAATGCTTTTGAACCATGTCTGAACATGCTTGAAACAATGTGGATAGAAGCTTGAGCCATTTTTATTTTACATGGTAATAGTTTCAGCAATGCAAATGGTATCATAAGCTCTTCCACACGCCTCAGCGCCAAGCACTTTTGTGCCAAAGGAAAAGGTGGAATAGAAAAGAAACCCCACATCTACCCCGAAAGCACAACAGTTCTGAGAAAAGCTAAAAGATGTTTATTATTCTAGATGCCTATGGAAGCTTCTGATCCCTTACTGGTGTATGAATCAGATCTTTGAACAGGCTCCTGCTACAAGAAACAGAGAAATCCTTGACACACTTGGCTTGAGAATGCTGAGTGACCAGACCAGACCTTTCAACTACAAGAGCTGCAGCCCCATCCCTGGAGACCTTGCAGAGATTACTTCAGAACTGCACTGCTTCTTAAGTCACACAGGAAAAAGAGAGAAAAAAAAAAGGGGCACTAAGCATAGTTATGAGACTTTATCCCAAAAAACAACTCAAAAATTCCACAGCTCACAACCCCCTAACCACAGAAGCACAGAACTTATGCTCAGTGCTTCTCTTTGACATGACATACCCTGAGCAATGCTCTCCAGCTTTCACACCTCACAGAAAAGCTGTGGCAGGGGAAGTGTGCATAGCTGCTGCTCCACCTTGTTTGTGGTCACTTATGGACAAGAACCAGGAGCTTATGTCTCCAGTGGCACCCAGTGTGGTTGCTGGAAACTTTGGCTTCTCTATATACCCAGGGATGGGTCTTAAGAAGTAGACTGCCTATCTGAGAAGCGGAATGGACAACTTGAATTAGTCTCCTTTCTCAAACTGCAACAGATTTTAAACCCACATCTAACCAGCAAGCCACCTGGAGGACGTGCAACACACTCCACTGCGGAGGCAGTGTCAAGTAACATATTGTTTTGAGGAGCCAAGAGAACAGTGCAATGACATTGGATCCAGCACAAAGCCCAGGATTATTGAGCTGCTGATAACAATCACATTACATTCAGCATTTTAATTAAAATTAAAAATAAATGGCAGCAAGTTAAAGAAAACTTGTGTGACCTCTGTTGAAGTTTTGTTTTCCTACAGTAATTGCGAAGTGGAGTTCTGTAGAGGTAAACAAGAAACAGATATTTTCTCTCAAGCACATGAATGCAGCCTAGCATAGACAGCTACAGAAAAAGCTTATGCTTTTTGCCTCAATCAGTGGCTATGCTTAGTGAACAGCAATAGCTACAAAAGTAATCTGAAAGAGGCAATCATATCTGAAGCATCAAATCGACCATCAATTTGTTATTTTTCAATTCAGGGAGATTACTCATTGAAATACACTGGAGGTGTTTCACTTTGCCTGACTTTTGAAAAGCTCATCCAAAATTGCACATACCCTGCTTCACATTAATAGAAAACGGAATGAAATATTATACACGAGTTGAAAACAATCAATAGAGATCCTCTCTGCAAGCCCATGGCATTTCTAAACACAAAACATAACAGGAAACTTCAATACAGTGGGTACAGACATCCTCCAACAGAAAGAATCAAGTGTTCTCCAGCGTTACCAGTGTGAGTGATCAGAAGACAGAAGCATTAAGGGGAAAGGAGTTTCAATTTAGAACTGCTGCTAGAGCCAGTCGCCGATTCTGAATGACTTACTCGATACAGCGCTGCAAACTTACAGTTTCTGACCCAGTAACACCATTCAGTAAATGCTAAAGAACCTACCACTTATTTTCTTGCACAGAAGAACACTGGGCCAGGCTGGATAAAGCTTTGGGAATTCCCTGCTCCAACCAAAGTCCAGGCAAGCTGTGGTTGCTCTGAATCTCAGTGTCCACCTGCTCCAACCCTGCAAGGTTATTCATGACACAACTAGCAGAGCAGATACCATCACTCCTTAACCTGTCCCAACACAGTTCCTCTCACAACTGCCTTCAGTTGTTCTGCCAAACTTTAACCTAGGGCCACTCAGTTAATTTCACTGATGTCTGCAGCAGGCTTTTCTTCATGGTCTATTCAAGATGAGAACACATTGCACCAACTTCTGTTCTGCCAAGCTTGTCAGCCACCGCTGCTCCCTTCCGGGCTAGAAAGTATGGCAGCAAATGCTCCCAGAGAGCCTGGGAAAATGGTGAAAACAAAACACAGGACCTCTCTGAAGAATGGGAAAAGTATCCCACAACCAAGGACCCTAATGAGAGTCAGGCAAAATTCACTTGTAGCAGACTTGAACCAGGCCCACCCTTCAGATGGCTTGGCTATCAAGCAGCCTGCCCCTGCATTCAGAAAGGTTTCATCCTTTGTCCACCTATGCACTGATTTTTGCCTTTTGCAAACTGCATAATGTATTTTTTGCTTTACTCTTTCTGTGGAGGGAAATGGTTGTTGCAAACAATATGCTGCCCAAGGAGAGAGTTCTCCAAAAGAACAAAGAGGGCTGAAAAGACAGAAAAGGTACTAAGTGTCCACTAAGATCTAACTAAAGACATATTAACATGGAAGAGAGCAGTTGCATGAAAGTTTGGGACACTATCTAGTTCCCTAGACACACTTGAGCTGGCTCAAAGGACAGTTAGCATGGGATGAGGACAGAGCAGGCAGAAAGAAAGGATGCCAAACTATGTTTTCGGGATGCAGCAATAGCTTAAAACAGTCACTCTACAGCCCAACCCTGCAGCTTAGCGACCAGTCAAGTCAGTTTAAGTGGGGTCTATCCCATAAGGGGGATTTTTGCCAAGTCCAAGTGGATCAGCTATGCAATCGAATGAAAAACTAACATGCCCTATGTCCAAGTTCACTTTTACATGCTGCAGCTGTAAAATTCCCAAAGCCAGCACTCAGGTAGCAAGAGGAACATGCAAACTGTGCCTTTTTGGACAGCTTGCAGTGTGGCTGCTTAAGCCAATTCTGCAAGCTTCCCCAGGATCACTTATGAGCAAAAAGATCCATACCTGTTCTAAGGTTGTTTTTCTAACAAGCCAGTGAGGTCACATCTACACTTCTGAGAAAAATGTTTAGAAGAAAAGAAGAGCGGTGCTACAATTTCTATGAGATGCTACTGGCATCTCACAGGTCACCACAGTTAACAGTAAGGCTTAGAACTGAAGATGCTCTTGTACCCAGCTTCTCAGGAAAATGATTGTGTTGTTTAGCCTTGACTGCTCAATCTGCCTGTGCGAGCAGAAATGAAGTGGATAAAAGCACCGTGGTTCTGAAGAGCACTCGAGCCCAGCTGTTAGCCTGGATCACACTCGCATTGCAGCACCAGCCCAAAATAGAACTGAGTAACAGGCGCCTCTGACTCTGCAGCTCTGCGGCTGAGGGAACAAGGGAAAGAAGCCTCAACTCAGAAATCAGATTGCAATTATCTTGTTCGTGATGCCATTAAGAAAGCAAGTGCTGCTGCTGTCGTGGGTTTCAGACAAGAAAACACCATTCACATAACCAATACTCCTGTAATTTCCATGGATGCCAACCGTTACTAAGCCTGAATAGCTCTCTGCAAATTAAATGCTATCCTGCCATTCTTATGAAGCCACCACTCACATATCGATTCAAAATACTAGCAATGTCCTGTGCTGCTGTTACAAGAAGAGCTGCGGTACTAAAGCCTCTCAGAAGTAGAACAGCTAAGCTCTAACTCAAGCTGAGAGAAACAGAGGTCACATTTGCCAGGGTTACCTATTTGCGATACAGGTCAACATGGTTTAACTGCAACAGCCAACCTGAGCAGCCAGAAACACCTTACAAGGAAAACCATCACACCAAGGTGACAAAGTAAGGCCAAATAAATAAGAAAAGCCTTTGCTCAAGATCTAAACAGTGCCTCTGAAAAGATTCAGTTCCTTGAGACCTCAGGAAAAACATTTTAAGAGTAGTAGAGCAGAATTCCGAGAATTCTCCCTCTTATCCTTCAGACTTAGCATACGTATTACAGCCAACCAAGCTGACATCAGGCATGTTGTCATGGAAGAGCTGGTTCCTCAAATACCAAATGCTGATATGGTTTGTTACTTGCAGATACCATGTTGGTTTTGTATCCCCTCACCTCTTTTCTAGGGATACACATTCATCAGCTCGCTTTACAACTGTTCTTCAAACACAGGATAACTTTCCAAACATGTCTATTACCTGGGCAAGCCTGCTATGTAGGACCATGAATCCTTCTGAGGACTGTAAGTCTCGACTGAAGAAAGTGCTCCATTTTCATTCCTGCCACCAACAGCTACCAGCATGTCGGTAACAGCTCCCAGGTAGAAATCTACACGGCGCTGTCTCATGGAGGCGACCTGTCAAAAAGAACAACATGCTGATATCTTCAAACATCTGGTAAGCAAGCTGACTGAAGTATATTCATGTCTAAGGATAGAATAGTTCTTCCCATTTACTTGGAAAGAAGAGCTACTGGTTTTGACCATTATATTCATAAAATACTTTTTGTTTTTCTGCAATAGCATGTTACATAGCATTAATTTCCAAAAAAGGGGACAACAGGAAGCATGTAAGAGGAAGATTACGCTACAAATTCTGTATTACATAGGCTTCCTTCCAAAACTCTGCAAGAAACATAGAATCATAGAATAGTTAGGGTTGAAAAGGACCTTAAGATCGTCCAGTTCCACCCCCCCTGCCATGGGCAGGGACACTTCACACTAAACCATGTCACCCAAAGCCTCATCCAACCTGGTCTTGAACACTGCCAGGGATGGAGCATTCACAACCTCCCTGGGCAACCCATTCCAGTGCCTCACCACCCTATTGGAACCACTCAAAACCACAACTGAACCACATGGGATGACTGGTTCATATGGGGATCTGCACTGACCGCAGGGTTTTACAGCGGACTGGAACTAAATAGCTTGTTCTAAGAGATATTTAGTACAGAGACACTGGACAAGAATCAAAGGCTTTCTTTTTACATCAGACCCGGTTTTGATTTAGTCGTATGTGCTCCTGCTTGAGAAAGATGAACTAAACAATCGCCTCTCTAAATCCATTGTAGCATTAGTCCCAAAGTACTCTTAAGAGTTGCAGGTGGATGCTGACCCAAGAATTTCACAGATAAGGCATCCAAATCTCAACTGAAGTTGAAAATCTGCCCCAAACTCTTCTGCTGTGTGCGTACACAAAGAATCCACAAAGGGTTCAAGTAGCTGCTTTTTCAGCTTAAATAGCTTTAATTTCTATTTCCAAGTGTTGCCATGTTGGCTGTTCTAATGAGCCCTGTCCTTCCACCAGAAAGAAGAAAACACTCTAGACATAAAGGACTTTAAACAGAGAAATAATACAGCTCAAGTCTCACCTTTATCCACTGGTTACAGCGGGGATCATACCTATATAGCAGATTTGAAGCTGCATCCCCTCCATTGTCTCTTGAAAAGCTGCCTCCAGCTATGAAGATGAAGCCTCCCAAGACTGCGACACAGTGGTGACTTCGTCTGGCTGGGAGAGGGGTCTCTGCAACCCACTGCCCCTTTTTGGTGTCCAGGAAGCACGTATCATCACTCAGTTCCAAGCAGCGCTCTGAAACCTCCCCACCTACAAAGAGGAGCCTCTCCTCACAGGTCCTCAGGGCTGTCCGCTTGTTCTGCAGCACTGGCTGAGCTGTGACGTTGTTGTGATAGTGCACTGCCTCTTCTATGAACCCCTCACAGTTTGCTTCTTTGGGAAGAAGAGAGCAGACAGCAGGCTTGACTCGGTGGAGGAGATCACTTTTAGGTATCAAAGGAAAATGGATGTTATCCAGAACCTGGTAAGCCTCATTCTCCCTTTCCGGGTACTGGGTAAGCCACTGCAAGGCAGCCTGCAGCAAGTCGTGCTCACACTCTTGCTGCACACTGCTGCTGTTCAGGTATTGGCACAACTTCTGCAAGGAAATGTTCTGCAGGAAGTCCGGAGTGAAAGACAGCGTGCCAAAGTTCTTCAGGATGAAAGAGTCAATGTAGGAGTCAAGGCGCTTCAGGTTGTAAATAGAGGCCAGCTCTTGCAGGTACAAGTAGTTCTCCTCGCTGACTTCATTCTCCAGGTACTCGCAGCAGAAGTCGACCACCTTCCAGATCTGCAGCAGGTGAGCTGTTTCAAGCACATAGTCGATATTGCCACCATCTAAAGACAGCTCACTGCCATAAAGGAAATCTACCACAGCCTTAAGTCCAATGTAAGAGGCTCCAAAAAGTTCTACCTCTTTTTGGTGGGCTTCTCTCATACCAATGGTGAACATAGAGTTGAAGTAGTCGCTGCAAACGGCGAGGAGGTTCCGATGGGCAGGGACTCTCTGTTCATCCACCACGAGGACAATGTCACAGAAAAGGCCTCGGTGCCTCTGCTCATTCAGGCTCTGAAGAACCAGACTGGAGTGGTCATCCCACCTGTACACCTGGAATGAACAAACACTATTAGGTGAGTGTTATCGTCACCAAGATAAACTTCAGTGTGTACAAAAGCATCTCCCCATCAAATCACTCGAGAAAGCTCACTTTGTGATGCACATTTCTGATTAATTCAGATTGAAACAGTTGGCAAGCAACATAGTACAAGCACCCAAGCCCCCTCACCTTCACTTTGAAAGGCCTATGCAGACTTTCACTGCTTCCTACTCCCCTTATATATATAATTTACTCCCACCTCCTCCACAGTTCTGCATCTAAACCTCTTCCCTGATGATTTATACAGGCAGTTTTCTGAAACTCTTCCACTCATTGTCTTTGAGACATCTTGCTGACATTTCCTTTCTTACTTGTCCCCCAAATGACTCCTTACAGAGTTTTTCTCAACTGGGTTACTTGCTAAATGTATTGTTTGGGTTAGTGCTTGTTTGACAGCTACCCCCTCTTAAATCTTTTCAGAACTCTGCATTTTCAAGTTTGTTAGGGTAAAATCCCTCTTTCTTTCTGTGTTATTACAGGCACACACACTGCATTAAAAAATAATAGCTGTTTATTTATGTGCAAAGCCACACATGTGGCTAACTTATTCCCGTAAGACTTCTACTTGCTTCCAGAAGCCAAGGTAATCGTATTCATTAAAACAAAGTATTTTTCTTTTAAAGAAAGGGGAAAATGCCCCCAGAACATGTCCATTAAGTGTCCCTATGGGATGCCTCTGGTCCAGACATTCTTTCCACCAACTGTACGTGCCACAGAGCTTTTGAGGCAAACAGTGCTTGCTTCTTTCTCACAGACTCGCATTACTAGTTTTAAGAAGAACCAAAATGGAAATGTTTTGTTACCCCTTGAATGTCCTGCAGAACACGTACTGAAGGGGCTGGTCACCCCAGTATGTCAGGCAATGCAGCTTTTAGGGCCTTCCTTCCAGAGGAATGGAATGCTTGATGGTACTGTCAGCTGCCTTGTGATCTCTCTTAATAAAAGTCAGGTTAAGTTAAATGCAAATACGTAACTTTAATTACCAAATCCAAACCAGGCAGAGTTGCAGAGCCTGTAAGAACATGCAAGGGAAACGAAAGGAGGTGGAAAGGAAGCACATCTTTAAGTTAGCTCTGAACACTTCTGGCTTTAAGACCCTGGCTCTTGTCCAGTTCTATACCCTCAGGCTGCATTCCCTGAAGTGACATCCTGAAAGTCACCTCAGCCCATATCTACATGGCAAACCATCACACAGATGACCTGAGGTCTCTTCAAGGCTCTCAGGCATTCAACCTTTCCCTCACCAAACTGCTGCTTTTCCTAGAAACCCTTAACTATCCGTGGCTTTCCTGGTTTCCCAAACAGAAAGCACATCATTATTGCTGTCTGGCTAAGCTATTAATGGGTTGGTTTAAACACAGTGAGACAACCTCCTATCCACCTGGGTGGGAAAGGTTCAAGTCGTAGAGCCATGTGTTTCTTCCCTGCATGCAACCCTTGCTTTAGATATGTGCTTTGTGTATATAATTTGGTAATTGTGCTTCTATCTGATGAGATAACCAGGACTGAGGCACACAGCTCACCGCTGGTCAGACATGATGGCAGCCAACCTTCCCGAGCTAACACCAACATTGGGAGCCTCACCTCTTACGTCTGCCTTTAGCAGTCAGTGGTACAGTGACAGGCATTCCACCAATGGTGAGATCCAGATTAATAACCAAACATACTGCTGTTAGCATGACAGCCCAGTTAGTTTTGCTTATGCTCTTCTCTAAACAATGGAGACCAAGCTGCCAAAAAGCCTTCTGTTGGAGTAGCTTCATACATGCAAAGGCACAGAGTTACACCAATGTGACAAGGCTTCAATAATTATAAGTTTCCTGGGCAAAATCTTTTTAATTTGCCTTATACTCATTGCCTCATCAAATCTCTGAACCTAAAAAGGGATTTATGGGATAAACAACAAAGTAACTTTGACTGAGGAGTATAACTTCCAGACATCTGTATCAGAAATAAATACGGGGTTTAAGGACTGTAAAGTATTTTACCTTCATTTTTTGAGGTTGAGAAGAGGTGGCATCATACAGGAGCCCAAGCAGAGATGAGGGGATGGAGGAGATGGGAAGAATAATAAATATGGCAAAGGACAACACAAACCACTGATCTGTGGCAACTACGGTATTGGAGAGTGAATGAATAGACAATAACATGTTACAGCACCCTCTTGTGCATCTGCCTCCTGGAGGACAGTTATTGGATTACATATTCCCTCTCGTCTCTGTAAATTGGCTGATCATTTCTCTGTAATATTCTCTTAATACACGATCATGCATAACAAGATTACAACAGAACATAAGATTTGCCAGAGATCCCCACTGGCTAGATGTCGAGTCAGCATCATCCTTACCGCAAACACGCTTGATAACTTGTCCTCCTAAAAGACTTGTTACCATATAGAACTGCTGCTACTTCAGGAATCAAGCACTAAATCATGATGTATGGTGTTGGATGGCCTCAGAATACATTAGCATGTTTCAGCCTCTTACCAAGTTCATTTGTTCAGTGAGCAAGTGACAGAAGCTGAAAGCTACATGCTCCAGAACCCACACTAGTTTTATACTAAACGAACATCTTTCTCAAGCTATTTATATTCTGTAGAACAGCTTTAGCTTTATCCAGTAATTCTAAGTTTAACAGATAGTGACAGCTGCTGTCTCAGCAAGAAAATAAAACAATGCTGTCTAGTTAATTAATTTTTAATGCAGTGAATTATTATTACATTCAGACTAAACCACTTAAATGGCAGACAGGATCAGCGCTCAAGGACAGATTACACTGGTACGGATGCATTTAAAAATTAGCCCTATTTACCTTTTATCCATCGTATCAGAGCAGTGTTTTAACTTCTTTTCAGACTCAAAGATCTAATTTCTTTCAGATCATTAATGCAGTACCACTACCCATCAGTGATGCACGAGAAAATGAGGTTTGTTTCACTCAACTGTTGTAAGACAGATACAGCCACGGAAAGTTTCTCTTTTCTAGCTGTTGGTAGTACAAGGTACTTGCTCTGCAGCTTCTGTAACCTACTGCTCACCCCAGAAGAGAAAAGCAGTTTCTACTGGCATGAAACAAAGTGAACATAATAATTGCAGCTGATATCAACATCTTATACACCTTAGGCCATCATTCTTGTGACCTTCATAATGACCTGCCTAAGGTGGACTTCTGTGGATCCCCCCAACTAAAATCAATGTACTTGTGCAGACAGAGATGCTATGCAAAGAAAATCAGCCTCACAACTCAAAGAAAGCACCTTGAGTTCACTGAAATAACCCCCGTTTGCAGGATCTAGACTCAATTTCATGCGAACCTGAATCTGAAGAGCAATCCCAGCTTTGCCTCTGTGTCTCACCTGGACTTTGTGAGATGGATCAGTGTGAAAAATTCCCAAAATAAACGCATTGCCTTCAATGACTGAATTTCTGGTGCAGCGAAAACACTGTGCTGCGATGATGTGGGTTTCTTTTCTGAGTTATGAGTCACGACAAGCAGATGCCTATTTGCTCTTGATTTCTTGTTTTTTTTTGTTTGTTTTTTTTTTTTTTTGGCAAATCCCTGAGTAGCAACTTTTTCTACCAAAACACTTGAGCAAGCACATCACCATCTTCATACCCCTTTTTAAACCTCTCAGTATCCAAAGTCCTCCAAAACATTTCGTTTCAAGGAACAGCCTTTACTACACACACACACACACACACACACGATCCTGCTTGTTATTTGTGTAACATGGGTTGTTTTTTTTTGCAACACAAAACATACAAACCTTTGAGGACTCGCTTATCTTGTGCGGACGACAGATCCTGGTTTGCCTGGTTCCCTCCATGACAGCCGGCTCCGCAGCACTTCTGCAACGAAAGCAAAGCTGTTAGCCGCATACCAATCCTTTCAGGCTGCTGAAACCACGGCGTGATGAATAAATAACACGGTTAAGAAGGCGTGCACACCCTAACCTGAAAATCCGAGTTTAAAACAGGACGGTTTCATCGCTGCCTGGCGGTGTTATTAACGCTCGGTTGTGTCAACAAGTTGGCTGTTGGGGTGTAACCAAAGACCACCGCGTGTACGCCTGATGGAAGTCATTTACTCACCAGTGCTCGCTACAGCGGGCAGAGGCAGGACCGCTTCCCTCTCACGGCCAAGCCAGGACACGCTTCACCCCCGGCCGACACCGGGCCCCGGGTACCTCCGGCACGGCCCCGGCTGCTCATCCTCATGGCCCTGCGGCAGCCGCGTCCACCGGAGCGGGAAAGAGGGAGCGGGAACGAAGCGGCAGCGCCCGGGGTGAAGGCGCCTGGGAGCCGGCTCGCAGCGGGAGCGGCACCGGGCACCCTCCCCTCAGGGCCGGCACAGGAAATGCCGCCGGTCCGAGCGGGGCGGGGCCAAGGCGGGGCGGGAAGCGGCGCCGGGGGAGGCGAGCCCGCCGGCAGCAAATGGCGGCCGCGCTGTGGGCCCGCGGGGTTTGTGGTGGTCTCTTGCCGATCACCGGCCCGTGTCAGCCGCCTGCCGCTGCCCGGCTTTGTCTCGTTCATTAGGGCGCAGCGGGGTTACACGTTAAAAACACCTTGGTGGATAGCAGGGCTGATGGTACAGCTGCTTCTGCGTGAGGTAAGGTGCAAAGAGGTTGTGTGGGGACTCCACCGAAACCCATTTCAGTGCAGTGTTCTCCACAACACAAGTAAAGACCCCTTTGTTAACCCAGCAGTGCTGACCGTCGTAAGGACAGCAAGTCTCTGTGTGTGTGTCCAAGCTCCATCTGCTGCCACCAAGGACACCCCAGCTCAGACCCAGGACAAAGACCCTCACGTCCAAAACCTACCTGGCTGACATCCCTAATGTCGACTGTGAGCCCTATTTTCACAGCAGCCCTTCCTGAAAGAGAAAGTAGTATTCTCTCCATTATCTTCTCTGCACAGAAAAGACACGAATAGAGAAGCAGGACCAGGGACAGCCGCATGAAAAGACCAGAAAGGCAGCAAAAAGGTGTTCTGGCAAAGAGCCACAGGAGGAAGGCACTGGCAATGTATTTTAGGAGGACAGCTAAGCCTCCTGGGGCACTGTGGCTGTGCAGAGCCACCCTGTTTGCTCAGATCCCTCTCTGAGACCCTTCTTGAACATCATTAGTGCAATCCAGACAGCTAAATGTCAGTTCAGAAATCCAAGGCCTCATAGTGCTCGAGGCAGCTATTTGAGAAAGTCTAAAAGTCCTCTTTTAAGTCCTTTTACTTTCCCTATTTGTGCTTTCTCTATGAGGACTCCTTGGAGATGGAAAAATGCTTCTGCTGGTGACACAGGATGGAAAGATCCATATGCAGAAGATGGGTCTATATGAAAAGCAGAAGATGGGTCTATATGAAAAGCAAATCAGAACTCACCAAAGCCAGAAAAGTAGGTATTTTCCCCCTCCAGTTACAGCCTGATGAAACCTAGTGAAGTGTTTATTCTTCCATGCATTAAGAGGAAAAAAAATAAATAAAAATGTAATAATTAAAAGAAAAATTAAAAGACAAATGAAAATGCGTCAAAGACAAAGAAGAAAAGGGAGGGAAGGCACATGTTTCTGAGGCTAGAATCTGGCACAAGAGCATCAGGCATGAAGTTCCTCGCGAATATAAATCAAACCACAGGGTCACAGAGACCTAAACAAGGTTCAGATTTTCTCCTTTTAAGGGAAATGACATTTCAGCCACCCACTTCTACCCTAAGGAACATCTGGAGCTGAGGATCAAGCCTGAAAGGCCAAGGACAACCAGTGTTACAGCAGCAAGGTGGTGCCAAAGGAATGATAAATGGTGACTACAGGGGATAAAATATGTTTATGAGCAGATAATGGTCAGCATAAAGGCTTTTAAAAGAAGAAAAAGTGTTCCTAATGGCAGTTCCAAAAGAAAATCAATAGAAATTCAGAACTACTAATGTGTGATTATATTATCATCCACAGCCTGCAGTCTTGGGCATGATTCACCATGTCCTACCCTTGTACTGACTTCGGGAATATTTCTCCCTTCCCTATGACCTCATCTACACCACGGAGATGCACTGCAGCAACACGCTCATGTTTTGAGCCCTAATGCTCTGGGAACCTCACGTCATTCAGGAATAAGCCACGTTCAGGATTAGGGCTTCATGTTGCACAGCAGTAAATGGTGTGCCTGGTGCTTAACTCACACTTGGGCGATCTTGTTCCTTGGGATGTCTGAGAGCACCGAGGAGCTGTGCGTGTAAGGAGGCTTCTTACTGTTCAGGCTTTGCATTTACAACATATTGATGTGAGATAAATAATGAACATCTCACTGCAAACTTTAGAAGAACAACAAAAAAGTGATACTTTTCTATCCTGGAATGTAGTTTTTATTAAATTTGCGATGCGCAGCTCCCTGGTTTAAGGTAGAAACCCACCAACACACACAGGGACGGGTGTTTAAAACTCTGATCCCTGGTCACAACAGCAGCCGGTGACATTTATTCCGAGCTGAGCTCTGCAACATTATGCCTCTGTTTCTGCGGACATAAGACTGATCTTTCAAGCATCCCTTATCCTACTGCATGAACCCTCCTAAGCGCATTGACTTACGTTAGATCTTGTGTTTCCAGCTGGCAGAGCCGGAGGACCAGCCCGGTAGGGGGAGATCGCTGCATCTCAAACGGGGTGAGCACACACACCCCGGCACACACATACACACACAGAGGAGCCAGGGCAATAGCGAACTGTCACAGCCCACAGCGTCCCCCACACGCCTCCCGCCGGCGGTGTGGGGAGCCCGGAGCGGCCCCCTGCTCCCGCCGTGGGGCAGTGTTCACTCACACTGCCCGGCCCCGCCGTTGGCACGGTCCCCGTGTGCATCCCCTCGCCCGCCGCTCTCTTACCTGCTCCCCGGCTCGGCTACCTCCCGTGCGCCCGGCCCGGCTCCCGGCCCCGCCGAGCCCGCGGCGGCTGCAGCATCTTGCGCATCGCTTTTCGCCCTTTGCTCGTCCCAGCCGTCAGGGGCTGCAAAGACATCGGGGGGCTGCAGCAGTACCGGTAAAGCGCATCCCTGCGGCGGCCCCAGGGCAGGTGCCCCCCCCCTCCACCACCACTAGCTCCCGGTCCCCGTCCCCGGCCTATTGCATCACTCCGGCCGCCCCGCCCGGCCCGGCGCACGGCGCGGAGCCATTGGCAGCCGGTAGCAGCGGGGCGGTCCGCGGCGGCGGCGGGCTCGGCACTGCGTGGCGCTGCGCGGTGCGGTGCGGTGCGGTGCGGTGCGGTGCAGCAGCGGCAGCGCTAGCAGCAGCAGCATCAGCGGCAGCGGACTCCCCCCGCTCAGCTCCGCGCCCCGCTCTTCCCCCCCTCCCCAGCACGGACGGCCCCATGGCCACCAAAATCGACAAAGAGGCGTGCAGGGAGGCGTACAACCTCGTCAGGGACGATGCCACCGACGTGAACTGGTAAGTGAGCACGGTGCTCGGTGCCTTTCTCTCTGCCCCCTCCCGAAGGGGTGACTTTGATAGACATTCTCCTCATCCCTCTTCCCAAAGGACGGGTTTCAGTGTATTCTTCCCCATCTCCTCTTCCCCCTTTCTAAAGGCTGTTAAATGTATTATTCCCCCTCCCTTTCCCCTTTCCCAAAGGCTAACTCTTAAATGAATGATTCACCTCCCCTTTGCCCTGTCCCAAAGGCTGACTGTTAAACGTATCACTCCCCTTCTCTTTTCCCCTTCCCAAAGGGTGACTTTTAAATACAACGGCTCTACCATCGTCCCCGGAGACCAAGGGGTAGACTATGAAACCTTTAAAAGGAAGTGCACGGGTAAGCTCTGTCTTAATTCCCTTTAGCACCTTTTCATCTTGCTCGCTGCCTGGTGCAGGGAGGGGGGAAAGGATGGGGAAAAACTTGGGTAAACTGGAATTAGAGGTGCTGCTTCTTCGCGTCTGCGCTGTCCTACACGATGGGCTTCCAGCCGCCACCGAGTGCAACTCGCTGAAGTCCACCGTCCTGCCTGTCCTTTGTCTCACCCTTAACTTCAGGTCTGTTGGGCTCTTTTCTCCCCTTTGCACAGTTTTTCTTCGCTTCTCGTTTGTAAGCAAGATAAAACACTTGATTAGCATCGGTCTCCTTGGTCAGTGCTGCAGTTCCGAAGCAAAAAAGACTACATTTTTGTGGATAAAAAGATGCAGGCATGCAGATCATTTTGCAGTAGAACTCTTCTGTGTTCGTAGCGCTAAAGTAGCTGCAGTTAGAAGGCTTGCTTGGGTCTTTTAGGAACATTAAACCCAAGAAGAGAGTGGTTTTGCCGAAGGTCAGCTCGAACAATACAGCCCTGGAAACAGTCGTGTCTGTGGCATTGCACAGCCGCAACAGTTGTGGCTCTGGGTTTAAACGTGGCAGTTGATTGTTGAACTGTTGGTTGTGGAACATTAACAGGAGAAACAAAGCCTGGGGAAAATGAAAATAAACTGAGGAATATTTAACTTCATCCTATCTTAACTTTTAACGTGTTTTACAAAAGTGGGCTGTGATTTTTCTCAAAGTAACTACTGGGGAGGGGGGGATTGTATAGCTTGTGCTCCTGCCTTGGGTGCTATTTAACAATGTCATAAAGTGGCATGAGATATGAAGTGTTTGTAACTAATACTGGAATATAACAAAGCTTTCCCCCCTCATCGAGTATTGTGGTTAACCTGTGCTTTACATACCTTTACTGTGAGGAGCTGTGTGCTGAGCAGTCTCTCCCTTCTCAAGGTGGGGTGAGTCCCGGAGCACTGCACTCAAGAGTACCACAGCCATTGCAACACCCGCGCCTGTCCAAATTTGGTCTGTCAAGTCCTAGGGCTTGGCTGTATTTCACTGAGGTGAAGGGGAGAACTCCCACTAACTTCAGTGAGGGCAGGACCAGTCTGCTTGGTCCATAAATATCGTAGGAGGAAAATACACTCTAGTCCTTGGAAAGCAGCCACTAAATCAAGACGGTTTAGACTGCTCTGCTATGGCATTTGCAGTGGGGTCTTACTAGGATTAACACACCTACTTGCTTGTAGCTGGTCTTGAGACCGTGGCAGGGGAGATACTCAAAACAAAAAAAGATCCTCTTGTAGCTGATGTCAGAAGAGCTGATGCCCTGTCCTGCAAGAAATGCTTCCCACTCAACTCTTTTTAATGGGCAACAAATGGGAAAGAAGTATTACATGGCATACAGGGAAATAATACAGGGCTCAGCACTTCTGATGCTCACACCAACCTCATCTAAGGGGTTAGAAGTTTTCTTTCAGTATCTAAGTGCCAAGGTTCTCTGTCTCCTCTTGCAGCCAAAATAACAGCATCTCCAGACATCTGAGGCTTGCAGAGGAACCTTCGCCATTTGTTTTCTGTCCTTGTTTTTAAGGACAGAAGATAAAGACTCCATGTCTTATTCTGTTTGAACAGGTTTTTAACGTTTTGTTTGGAGTGGTACACTCTCAAGAACAGTTCCTATCTTCCCTTCTATAGCAAGGGGAATACTTTTATCAATAGACTAAGCTGGCAGAGAGCAGGCACCGGCTGGGCTGGGTGGGAGGCATATAACAGCTAATGGAGGCACATACTGAACTGTGGAATATGGTCAGTTTTGTCTTCTTGCCATTGTTTTCATGTGCCAAATCCTTATTTATGAACAGGGTATTAGAATTTAAGGAAAACTTGTTTTATACCAGCAAAGTGCCAAGCTGGCCCAGTACTGAAGCATTTTTACAGCAAAAAGTAATTTTTGCATATTTTAGGCATAAGCATGGAAAGGGAAGAGTTAGAAGAACATCTGTGGGGTTGATGGTGGCCTGTTCTTAACCTTTAATGTGGAACTAAATCCCTTATAGCTGCTCCTTTGCTCTCTGTTCCTTTTCCTTCTTTCCCTGTTCCTTCTCATGCACCTGGTACGGGCTGCTCCTTGGCAGACCAGGGGCAAGAGGTTCTTCTCAACCTACCTCTGGAACACAGTTGCTGGAGGCAAAGGCAGGTACTGAGCACTGGAAAGGATCTTCCTCCACCCAGGAACCTGGTGCAGCAGCTGGGGAGGCAAAAGACACAAGTTGCAGTGCCTCCATTTGTTGCAGCATCTTCTCCTGGACCACTAGACACAGTCACAAAACAAGGCATGTGCTGGCAGTGAAGTTAGAGCTTTCCTTCCCATCTGGAAGAAAGGTTCCAAATGTTGCTATGAAGTAGAGTTGTTTGGAGTATTTCTACTGAAACAAAGTCAGTAATAAAGAGTAGGAAGGGATGGGAAGAGAAGCTAAATATTATCCCTTCCTATCGGTACTGTCCCTTCCTGGCTCACACCCCATCTCCTATGTATTGCT